CAGTGGCATCAATTTATCACTTCTTACCATTCATGAATTAAATATTTTGATTTTGTAATTTATGTACCTATGTGCGTAGTATACAAGTTTGATGGAAAAAATTCAAGCAACTTTTGTCCTTTAATAGTTTCTTTTTCTGTTCTTGGGAAGAAAATATAGGCACGTAGGCTATCTGGTAATTATTATAGTGCTGTTTTTAGAAATTTTCGAACAATATAGTAGAGTGATGCAAATTATAACAGATCGTCAGATCCATCAAATTACAACCTAATCAATTGACTATGAAATTTAAATTACAGATTCAGTTTGAATATAGATAGACAAAGTAGATCAGGAGTGTACCAATAACGGAAAGGAATAATTTTTCAAAACTGAAAATTACGTGAATCGTTTGATAAATCTCGTACAATAAAGTGAATAGCCTATAATAAGAATTATTTAGAAAGTAAAATTACCTAAATTATTTAACAACTTATTAATTCTAAATGTAGAATTCTATAAACGCGAAATAGGAAATGCAGCTACCTAGATCGTAATCCACTAGTAAAACAAAGCACAAGTCAATCCAGGAGAATATGCCGCGCGGGGCAACAAAACTTGCTCCACAATGGAATCGGATGAATTTCGGCTCTCACATACTCGAACGTGGATTTTAACAGGAAAATGTCGGAGAATGCAAGACGAACCGGCCGACACCACTCAGGAGCATATTATCAGTTCGTTCTGCGCTCATAGGAAACCGCAATTTCCACGGATTACACGGACGAAAACTGACTCTCGTGACTGTACAACGTCGGCCAAGCTAGTGGAATTCATGGGTCGCGGGTTATGCCGCATTCGGTGGTATGTAGTAATTAGCAACATTGCATCCAGAACCCAAAGGTGGAAGGAGGATCGACTGTAGGATCAGAGTATCGCCAACACGGATTTCATTCGAAGGAATACAGCGCAGTTCTGTGGTTGCAAATTGTCTTGCAAATTACTGTTACTATGTGACCCATTGATAGTTCTAATTAAGAACAGGCTATCATTATCGACGATAGTGTTCTTTTGGAGTTTCGTAGCGTTCGTTGGACAAAATTATAACGATGAAAAAAAAGTTTCATAGAAAAAGATATTTCATTTCAGACATTTTTATACTTTAAAAA